GTGGGGCTGGAGCATGGCATGTTGGATCCTTGGTCTAGGAGCTGGTTGGATAGGAGATGGGAATTCAAGATCTATGAGATTGTTTTTGATTTTATAAAAAAGAGTCACTTGGGCCAGCAAACGTCTGGATTCCAAGGAGTCCCAACCAAGTTGATTTACAAGATCTTGTGAGTTTGTAAATCTCTTGTAATTGTACGCGACGAAACGAGCAGCCCGTCGCTGGACTTTTTCGATAGTTTCAGTGTCCCCGTTTGTGTGTGGATTCCAGGCGGCACTTGCATATTCTAGTAAAGGTCGAATAATTGCTTTGTAGGCTCTTTCCCTGACTTAGGCGTACACCGGGTTGTAAAGTCCGTTTGACCAGCCCGAGAGCCCTATTGGCTTTGTTGGAAGGTTTATCACAGTGTTGTTTCCAATTTAGCTTGCTCGTTAATCTAACACCCAGATAATCATAGGAAGTTACATGTTCCAAGACCTGACTATGCATGTAATATGGTAGTGTGACAACGGTTCGCTAGTTGGTCAAGGAAATGTGGTAGCATTTCTTAACATTAAACTCCATCTGCCAAAGACAGACCCATGAAATTAGTCTGTCAAGGTTGAAGGATAAGATGATCCACAGGCGATACAACCTGTCGGTACATAATGGTGTCGTCAGCAAAGAGTCTAATATTTGACTTGATGTCACCCACGATGTCATTTATGTACATCAAGAAAAGCGTGGGGCCTAAGACAGACCCTTGTGGGTAATGGGCTCCTGATACGGTAGAAAGAAAAGAAAAATAGGGAGGGCCAACGGAGGGGGACAATGGCGTGTTTGTTGGCAAATTTTCTGATGTTTTCACATTTATCTTTTGCGGAACTGCAATTTCCTTTGTTTTGTCGTGCCTCGACAAGACCGTCCTTTCGATTTCAGTTTCCGATAAGAAATAGGATATGACGGTAACCTTTTGAGGTATCGAGTTCTTTTCTGACGCAGAGTGTGTTGCATATTTCAGGCCAAGTTAGCTCACTGAAATGTCTGTAATGTTAATTTTCAACCTACTTTTTCTTTGAGTGCTGCAAGCACTGAACCGATAGGAATCTCAGAGAATCAGAACAAAACAACAACAACAACAACAACAACCTCTTACGTTAAAGAAAACATAACTAAAGAGGTTATTGGCCTCAGTAAAAAGCCAATGGGGATGCGAAAAGTAGTCAAAGTTGGATTGGAGCGGACTTTTTGCTCTTCTCTTCCGCATCGCTCGTGCCACTTTTCATAAAACATCGATTATTTTAGTATTTGAATTAAGATTTATTTTTAGTTAAATTCTTTAGTGTTTTTTTGGACAAACCAGCGATGTCAGCTTTGACGCATCCTAAACACATCGGCGGCTGTTCGGTAAAGTTCTAGTGAGTTAGCAACCTGCTGGTCCGCTGTTGCAATAGTCAGCCCGGTAAATTTATAATCTCTTTTACGATGCCTCAAATAACTACATCAATAGCAGTCGATGTGAATGCTTGGAGTATATTTTTCCAATTCACCGCTGTTCAAAGTTGTCCTATTATTTTTATAGAGTTATTCGTCTACTTATTGGGCTGAATTTTCGGTCAGTAGTAATTGAGATTTCTCCCATTGAACAACAATTACGAGAATGGTGTATTTGACTAACACAGCAGCTAAACTAGTTACAAACAAAGCGGAGACCAAGTACTGTTTCAGCGCAGAAAAAGATTAGCTGTGATATTTTCTTTTCAACTTCAGCCTTTTTTTTTTCGGCTTGATCTCCTCGAGCGGGGCAACTGATGACAACGAATCATGCCGAGATGCAACATTCTCTCATTTTCAAGTTCATCTATGTGTTCGGAAAACAGGCTCAAAAAATGTGTAGAAGTAGTTGCAGGTAATGTTACTGGTTCATAGGTTTCACCGCTTCGGTGAGCAGAGGTTAGCGACTCATCATCTACAGTAGTTTCCTGTTGCCGGCTTATTGGAGTACCACTGAGAATATGCCACCACTTGCGTGAGAATCCATTTTGGCCCTGCTTAAGGTGATACAGTAACTACATCCATAGAATCAAACGATCCTTTTGTAGTCTGGATCACACGCGCAATACGCCTGCTTCAGTCAGTTGCTTTTCATGTGACCAAAATCACACCATTTCATTGTGGGTTTAAGGAAAAAAAAAGATTCATACATAACTCTTTGCAAATGAACTTTTTTTGGATCAGGGAAAATCCCTCAAAAAATAATTAAAAAGAAAATAACGGACAAATATAGGTAGCTGTCAAAAAATCAAAACTGTAGTATAGTGAAAAAAACCGACTACGGTAGGTCCAACAAGTGACGGCCGGTTTTCAGACGCATTATTCCATTTTGTCTTTGAAAAAAAAAGGATTTTTGCGAAACAACCCAATTGGTATGGAAATCACGAGATCCCGATTTTACTAGGCTGGTTCTAAACTTAGCATTAATCACGGAAGTTCGTGTTAGGAGGGCGTTTAAAGCCTTCCATTCAAGGGGGCCATGAATATTTTAACATTTTAGCTTTCGATCGTCATCAGTAGTTTTCGCAAGATTCTTAAAAATTGCCAATCTCACGTGTTCCGAAGTCCAGTCCAGTCCAGTCCAGTTCCATGAGCATATGCTCATACAATTACACCGCAAAGCATAATAACTCCTCATATTATTTTACCAGCATATCAGCCCAAACAAGTTATGTCTAAACCATAACACTTTGGAATCACAAAGCCATGTCGCAAAAAACGAAGTGCTGCAGTTGGTTGAAAAAATGCCATGAAGGTTGGAATAGGTTCCACAACAATAATGACATGTGGAAAGACGAAAACCATTCCGCAGTGAAAAACGTTCACAGTTTAACTGTAAGCAGCGAAAAAATCAATCGAAAGAAACTCCTATCTCCTTCTGTCGGTCATCTGAAAAAAAACGATCTTAAAAGATGCCATTCATGGGGATCATCGCTAAACCGTATTGTGAGACGTAAAAGTCCCTGTAGCAAGTCACCGCAAACAAAAGGTACAGTATGATTTTCTTTTTTGCTGAAATGGCACTTATTATCTTGTCTATAACCAGTGATCTGGCGTTTACATTCCTTGTGGTGGTGTCTATCGGTTAGATTTCTCACAGACGAACTGCTTCTAAAAAGATCGATCAACGACAATCGCTCTTGACAAAGGACGGATACATCTTCCATCCTGTCGCTCTCCACAGACGTAGTTCATCAAATCAAAAACAACTCGAAAGGGAAGCCTGCTCAAAGATTTAACCAAAAAAAAATTCTGATATAAATTTTACTATGTACTCTCACAACTGCAGCGCAGTTTCCTCGAAATTTCATTCGTGATATGAATCGTGTTCACAATGTTCTGTTCGCCATATGGTTTTCCACCCCTTTGCTTGGCAATTCTGGTCATGTTTAATCATTTTTGACAGAAGAAGGTAAGTTGGCCAACTTGCAGTCTATTAAGTGATCTAGGGAAAATTTTATTTATCGTTTTCACCCCTCAGTAATCAGGGTCATTTCCCCCTAGGCATTCCATGATCCAAAGCAAAGAGTATCACATCTATAATCATTTTGTCGAGATGTACTATTCCACAAGAGTAAATGATTAGTAACGATTTCTATCATGAGGTTTTTAAATAGAAAATTTACCCTCAGGCTATTAGTTGCTAAAGGAACGATATTATATCGGATCTACGCGTGACTGCATGCTGTGAATCTAAGAACACGCCATGATTTGTTGACAAAACCTATCATCGTTAACGTTGCCACAAGGTATTGTTTTCATAATATTAGAATAAAACAAATTATAGAAACATGATTTCTTAACAATGATCGAGACACACACTCTGGATTACACCACATTCGTAAAGAGCACAGGAGCATAAACTAAATGAATCATCCGACACCCCTTTTTCCACTTTGAAAGTGTTTTCTTTTTTCTTTCCGACAATTTCTTCCTGTTTCCCATTTCAGTCACAATATCTTGGTCTGTCCACTTTCTTATCCATTTCCGCCCTGTTTCTTTTCCATTCGCTTCCTTTCTTGATGCAAGCAAATAGCCTTGGTCAGGTCAATTCAAAAGATCTTATTTCCTTTTATCGTCGATCTCGTTTGCGTGAAAATCGTATTTTGACACAACCTCACTTAACACGGCTTATCATGATACTAAAGATTTGGAGCAAGGAGATTTACCTCTTGTGAATGGGTGTGTCAAGGCGAGGGCGTTCCTTCCTTATCGGTAAACCCGAATGGACATCTGTATTGCGTACGTGTTGGCCTATATCCGCAAAAAAAGAAAAGCAAAGTCAATTCAGATAATCAAGATAGTACCTTCGGTATGGACTCCTAAATATGTCATCTCATCCGACCAACCGCGGGAGTTTTGATATGAAATGGATACCTCTTTCCAGGACTTCTCCGGAAGGGATAACACAGCCTAAGATTCTATGAGGATGGAACCGTGATTAAGATAACTAACTGGGTCTGACAATGACGAGTCCGAACTCCAACTGATCAATGGCGGTGTTGAGGGGGGGACGGAATCCAGAACAAAAACGTGGATCAAAATTTTATTTTAAATATCTACCAAAACAAAAAAGAAAACAACAACAACAACAACAACAGCAACAACAACAACAACACACACACACACAAACAACAACAACAAAAAAAAAACTCGAGATGCACTAATCATGGTACCAGTAAACGGTAATACAGGCTTTGCCTCCAATCTTATCCACCTTCCATATAGCGATAAGGGAATACATGCCGTGTTGTTTACCCCACAGTGCTTGAGTTGAATTTGTCTTGTGGAAAGGATTTTTGAACTTGGCCTTAGCAGTGAAGAGATCAGACATAGTTAAGGGAAAAGGGCCGGGTAGAGCTTTTTCGAACATATCGTCAAAATGATTATCTATGTGTCCAAGTGATGGTTTTACATAATGATCAAGTGTGCTTTCTTTATAAGGATCAAAATACAAGAGAGTAGACTTAACTGGAGAGAAAAACTTGATTGAAATTTTGTTATTAACATTTTTTGCCTGTGAAATTGTTAACCTCTCTCGCCAAATGATAGACTGATCAGATGAGCAAGGCTAAAACAACTTTGTTTATCTTTGATCTTGATCTTAGTTATGCAGTCCGCGTCATAACAATGGAAAAGTGAAGCGAGTTTAAGTTACTTGCTCAGAAAATGATCTTCTTGCGCGATTCTCCCACAAATATTTCGTAAAATGTGGCAATCTATTAGTTTAGAAGGTGTGGGTTCCCTTGAGTAGATTCATTTTTGTACTAAATTGCAAAAAATAATGAAAACACTGGTGCTTGTGTATAAACAAATGAATATTTTAGCTATGGTGAAGTCACTGAATCAACATATTAGTAGAGTATCGGACCTGTGGCTGTTAAGTGGCGTATTGTACCCGGAAGAAAGGAAATAGCTTTGATAATTGAACAAGTGGAAGTCACGACATCGTCAAAATTTTTCACATGAAATTTTAATAATTAAAAGCTTCTTCCGTTTGTGTATTTTTCATAGCTCTTTAACCTTATTCTCTTTATTCAAAAATATCGGTGACTGGTATCTTGAACTTGTCTTAATATCGCGGCGTCGTCTTTAGTCTAAGAGAGGTATTACGTAAGCATGAACACAAATATTTGATTTGTTCATTCTGCTTTTAATGGAAAAAATCAAAATGTTTCATCAGATTCATAGTCTAGCTTGACGTAACTTTTTTTTTTTGCTTACCGCAACTAGCAAGGGACTACTGCTCTTTGAACTCTCGTTCAGAAAATTATTTAATTGATTATAATTTATGTTATTTGGCCACGTGACTTTCTCACCGCCGCTGGGCAAGCTGTCAATCAAAATTGGACGTAATGGTATTCGCCAAACACAATCGGAGAAGACACGAAAACTAGAGTCTTTGACTTATGAAAGTGTTAAAATTTGACCTCATATGGTCTTCCTTGCCGTTCCGTTTTCTTCCTTGTACGATGGTATGAAACAGGTAAGACGTGGAAACGACTGGAGTGGGATTTCTGACGCTGTAGGATGTCATCCTCCGTGAAGGCAATATTTCCGTCCATCTCTATAAGCAAGAAGAAGGGAAAGACAACCTCTGGAGGAACACCGCAGACTTCAAATGCACAATCCCAGCCTTTTTTGCGGCCCTTGACTCCGGTGTGTAGTTGTTAAATCTCACATGTTTTGTATCCTGTGATCTGGGTTATTTCAAATAGGCGTTGAATGATTTTTTGTTGTTGTTCTAAGGAATCTAATCGCAAGCCGCAGCAGACTGCCTCAAATCCAATCGATCCGCTGCGAAGTGCCCTAACTGCTCGAGGACCTTCGCCGATTCCTTCTCCTTCGACAGCACGAAGGACAACCACTGGTGAAGGAAACCCTTCAGCACTAGAAAATGGATCTCAACTGAGCCAGTCAACTCCAGATTTGAGGCTCGGTTTTAGGCATGTTAGAAGTATTAGTCAACCTTCGGGTTTATCTACAACTTCCCACAGGGAGTCATTTTCTTCGGTGACATTTCCAGATCGCAGCAATTCGGTCAATAGCGATACTGGCTGTTATACTGAAACCGCAGAAGAACCTATGATTCTACAGGAAGATATCATAGCTTTAACCTGCCACGTTCGAAACTTTTCCGACGCTTTGAGCTCGCTTCGAAACACTTTTATAGAATGCGAAGGTAAGAATGTTTACTGAGGCGCCCGTCCAGTTGTATGCTTGTATATCGTCAACTTACATTCTTTCGAAATTGCTAATCTTGTGCTCAAACTGTGAGTGGGAATAATTTCCATATTATCAACCATTGTAGAAGTCACCTGTTTCGTTGATCCGGGAAATACCCCATAAATCTTAATTTTTGTTGTAATTTATAGTAAGGGATTTCAGGAACAATTTCATCCGAGCATATTCAGTTATTAAAATTAGAGTTTATACAGTAGAGTATGATAAACTCTGATTGCTAGTAATCACCTGATTGAATCCTAAAATAGAGATGTAATAAGGGAATTAAATTTTTTTTTGTTTCGATTTTCCGGTGGAAATCTACTATTTTCCTTTTTTGACGCAAAAAAATGAAGAATCGTTACATCATTAACGCCAGTGATCGGTTTTAATTTCATCTAATCACGTTAAGGCAGTCACGGATTTTTATACCTTCTCAATGATTTTCCAATAGGGGATTATTCGCTAGAATTAAGAGAGATTGACATGTAAATTAAACTCTTGTATTTTGAGAATATTTCAACAAGTCTTTCAGTGTAGTTCTAAGAATAATGGTATGCTGGATTTTCTAACGATTTCGTGCAGAACATGTTTTGAAATTAAGCTAGATGTTCATCTAAAGTAAAGCTGGCTTTGTTTCATTATTGTAAAATGTACCGTGTGTGGATGCAATTTATTAACAGTAAAAATTGTAGTTTGTGCTCAAACTTTGTTTTCAAACTTTAGGAAATATATTTCTGCAAATTTACTTTGATATTGGTCTGTTATACATTGCTGTGTGAATATATCTTGTCTAACTTCTAGATCATATTGATGTAAGGCATTTTCCCATCATATTAGGATTTAGGAATGTTTATTTTGGAGCTGTCTGTCCAAACGCCTTTTAATTTGATTTGCAACACTCATTCAAAGAACAAATGAAGGGATTTTTTGTGTGATTGTTGACTTTTCAGCAAATACCTCAATAACCACATCGATGCACTGCAAGTGTAAAGGAATTTGCTGCTATTTATAAATTGTTCTTAATATTAACGCCAATTTCCATGAATGATGGTTTTTATTAGTCCTCTTTAGTGAAGAACATTCTCTCCTTTTTTTGCCCTAAGGTGTCTTTAATATTGTGAGACTTTGTCTAGTTGTAAAATAGAATCCTGTCGCTAACACTCTAGAATACGATGACACAGAGTATGTATTTGTTTATGTAATCTTACTCTATGTTGGTAAGAGAGTGTTGGGGAAATATGTTACTACCACACCAGATATGAAAGATATCAACTAAATCTTTGGTTTCCATTATGTTACTCAAAGGTTTCTCTTTCCATTGTTTTAGTGAATGCTACATGTAATGTGCCATGACAGTTCTTGATTATGTGTTCAGGAATGCATCTTATGCTCACATCTTTATGAATAGGTTCCTCCTGTTTAGAAGCAAAATAAATAAAACAGCCTTCAGTCTTAGCTGTCTCTTTTCTGATACTTTCTTTTCTGTATGAAAGCAAGAAATACTTAGAGACTTTCAGTAGCAATAATCTTTAAATATCTATAGTATACAGAGTCAGGTGGCTCAAAACATTATTAGGGAAACCCAGGGTAAATTCATTATTTTTTATCAAGGATTATGGCTCATGTTCTGTTTTCTTTACCAAAGATGTAAGCCATAGCATATACTCCTAATCAAGACAAGTCTTAACCAAATGTAAAATGCGAATTGCAAAGCACACACTGGGCCCTGGAGTGTGACTTAATGAAAATGATTTTAGAGTTTCACTCAGATTCTACTTTTGATGCTATACTCAGTTCATTAAACTCATGATTTTACTTTCGTTATTTTGTAGATAATCCTGACAGTGATCCGCCACAGCTGTTAGCCCATGAACGTCTTGGTGAGGTCCTGTCAGTTCTTAAAGGAGTCCTTAATACATACCAACCACTACACTCAACAGACATACTTGCCTCTGCTGGAACACTGATTAGTAAGGTCAAAAGTCACAACTATGAAGACACCAGTAAACCCCCAGATGAATTCTATGAGTCCATTGATCAGCTGGCCTTGGCATTCAGCAGCAGGTAAATTGAGATGTTATAATACCTAATGCAGCAAAATAAAAAAAAAAAGTAAAACAAGGTGGAGTAACATTTGTTAAGTGAGTCTGGTGACAGCTTAATTTGTCAACCTTTGCTTCTTATTAAATCATAATCCCCACTTAATGACAATACCACCCTGAAGCAAGATGCCTCTCTTGTGGACACAAGGGCCAGTCATTTAGACAAGGTCTAACTCAAACTGCAGTTTTGCACAAGAAGTGGGCCTCAATGTGTTCACTGTAGAAGGTTTGCTTTCATTTAAGAAATATCCTTTCAATGCTAGCTTTTTGTTCTCTTCACACTGTTAACAAAAATAAATGTTGAGGTAAAAGATTTAGCTTAATTCAAGATAGTTTAGAATGCTGTTTGTTAAACAAAGGCTGAACTTTGTCCAAATAACCAGCCCTAATTTCCACCCTGTTTGGTGTATGATTCTTTTAATCCTTTAAACCCTAAGAGTGACTCACGTCTAATTTCTCTCTACGTTATCACTGCTTAATCACAAATTAAAGTCTTGAGAGTAAAGGAATTGACAACCAACATTAGAAGCTCTTGATTGCTAAACATATTCTCCTTGTCAGCAACTTAGGAAATGTATAGAGATTAGAAATGAGAATAATTTTATGTTCATTGATATTAGGGTGTAAAGAGTTAATCTAAGATCTGAGAATTTGGTGTTAAATAAAAATATCCTTAAGTTGATTTTATTCTTACTTGGAAATGTATCAATATTGTAAGGAGAATTTCATTTTTGGTCACTCTTAGTAAACATTCATTCATACGGTAATGGTTATTAATAGTTTTCCTTCACCAACCTGTTGACTAGGACGAACCCTTCAATTCTTGAGATCTGATTTTAAATTCTCCTTTCTAGCTGCCATAATTCCCTTTGAAAATAAGTATCAGAAATAATAAGTACCAGCTGAGCAGTATGTTTATTCTCAACACTTCTTTACTTGATGTGGTATAAATACTTGATGTGGTATAAATACTTGATGTGGTATAAATACTTGATGTGGTATAAATACTTGATGTGGTATAAATACTTGATGTGGTATAAATACTTGATGTGGTATAAATACTTGAAAAAGAAGTTCGTTGTTGATTTCTTTGGGAGTTTAAGAGTTGAAAATCTGATAAACATTGGAGGTTAGCTTGAACCATCATTTACTGCACATTTAACCTTGAGTGCAACACATCAGTACAATTACCAGAGATATCGTTAATTTCATAAGTAGGTGTATATTAGGACATAAGTAGGCAGAAGACAGTTTAGGGGTAATCGAGGCAGTTTTGTTACCAATCTTTCTCTTCTCTTTATTCAACATTGCCCACAGTGAACCAATCATGTTGTTGATTGAATTGTTAGAACTTGTTACAAAAATTACCCAACAACCAAAAAAGGAGACAGAATATCATAAAAAAACACCTTATTGATGACTGCCCTTATAACATATTGAATGTTTTCTAAATAACATGCAAAAACTGGGAAGTGGAATGGCCATAGTAGTCAGCTCTGTTGTTGAGAGTCATCACCATCAATCCTTTTGATGCTCATGGCACATAGGGCCTTCACAGAGCTTTTCCCCTCCTCTCGATTGGTTGCTGCTGTCCGCATCTCCTCCCACGACCTCCAACCTGCCTCTTGCCTTTCTTTCTCTACTGTACGTCTCCAAGTGGTTTTTGGTCTTCCTCTTCTCCTCTTACCTTCTGGTGCCCAGCTCATAGCAACATTGCAATTATTATTACGATTGTTGTGGAGAGTAGCCACCGGAATTTGCTGGTTGCTAGCTTCTAATGAAATCCCTGACAATTACACAATTCTTTTTTCTCAAAATATTCAAAAGCTTGTTGTATTTACTGTGAATTATGAAAACAGGACAAAACCTTATCCTACACATGGTCTTAGAGTGTTTAAAAGTCTTCCTATGGGAATCAACACAACAGCGAGAAATTTTGAAACTAGCTGAGAGAATTCTGTGAAATCTGACAAATTCATGTCAAGAAGGAGGTTTCAGTAATTACATGGTGTATACAAGAGTGGTGATTGATCTAAAACAGAACCTTGAAATAGGAAAATTGGATGAATAAAATTGATTACAGACTGTGAGGTTCTTAATCCTTAAACTCCCAAGATCTGAAATTTAACTCTCCCTTCTAGCTGACACATTTCCTGGTAAATTAGTCACAAGAATTTGGTATTTGATCAAGATAATTCCTATCTGCTAAGTTTGATTACCAGTTTGCAGGATAATTTGTATGGAGATTATAGGAAAAAGTTACATTGTTAATCACTTCTAGAGTGAAGGGGTTAACTGCTTTATGATGTATAGTGATTGTGTGTTTTTTGGTACTTTTTTTCAGCGTGTCTGATTTCCTTATGGGTGAACAGGACATTGGTCCGTCGGAACAAAGCATGAATAAACATTATTCACAAGTAAGTCAATGTTTATTTAAAAGCAGTAGTTAGTAGATTGTTACTTTCCAACCAAAATAAACCAATCACAAGAAGTGCACTGGCTGACCATTGCTTGTTTAGACACTAATGTATACTTAACTGATGTCAATGGAATCTGCTAATGTGATGTGATAAAGTCACTATAATTGTACTTTACTCTTCACCACTAACAACGATGTATTATTAGTTTATTTTAATTTAATCTACAATTATTTATTATTTATTGGTTAAGTACAAATGCTTCAGTAACTGTTTGGACAAGTTAAATATTTTTTTTGGTAAATTTAATGTGACTAATAATTCTCTGAATACTTCCTCACAAGGCCAATTATTTTTCCTGTTTAGTGACTCTCCCATACCTTATTCAGTGACAAAATCAGTTGTCGTACTTTTTTGCAATACCTACTGGTAAAGAACACATTTGAAATGAAAATTTTAAAATGTATGCTTTGATCTGTAGCCATTCACCTCATTCAATGTTGTGGTGTAATCACAGACTAAAGGGAAAAATTGTTGTTTCATTTATTATGTTTGTGACAAACACAATTTAATTTTTCTGTGGACTGGAAATCTTTAAATCATGTATTTTAGGATAAGAGCATTCTTTTGGTTCTATTTTATTGCTGGTAACAATGAATTTCAAGATAATTTTTTCATTCCTTGTGATTTACCTTTGATGGTGGGAAAAAGATACTTTCTCCTCCTTCAACCTCCTACCCCAAAGGGACAGGTAGAGTTATCCCCACAGATCTCTTTAAGGCCTTTATTTTTTATAGAAAAATTCTATGTTTGGACGAGCAAAAGGTCTTAGTTTCCAGTTGTTAAATATTTTTAAAATCTGGAGGTACATGGAACAGAGTATTCAAAGAGTGTAGAAGTCAGTGCCTCTGCAGGCAGTCATAGGACACGCCCCTTCATGGAATTCGTTTAAAAAAATTTCCCTTCAAATTTTTTGCAGAGATATATATGCTATAAATCTGCCTTGTACACTCAGTGTTTAGGTTTAAGTACACATTTAGGAACTTGTCACCAAGTCTTGTCTTCTGCTAGAATATCTGCAAGGAGTGTTATTTAGTAGCAAGTTTTTATAATCAGATAATTTTTCTGATATGATGTATCTGTAACCTAATCCCTCAGGGATAGATTTCACAAGGCATTTCTTTTGCATTCCAGAAACTTTCAGATATGAAATACTAGATGCCATATGGTTAAATATTGTTGTTAAGCTTTCCTGATTAAATATATTTGGGCAGCTGACATTATATGCATCTGACACGTCTCTTTTGATCATTTACAGTCATATATGTTTTTTGGGTTTGTGATTTGTTATTTTGAAGGGAAAGGTTCAGAGTCATGAACACATTAAAAAGTGATTGTCGCGGCCAATTTTGGGTCAAATTCCATTTTTAAGTGACACAGTATTGTTTAACAGGCTGTTAACACCAATAGCATGAAATATAAAACAGATCTGATGTCCCAGTGGTCAGATGGCATGCAGAGTGTAGAGTTACACACTCAGTTTCCATACATTTCATATTTTTAACATCCTACGAAAGAATTGAAATATTTCCTGGCCTTTGGAATGATAATTCTGGGATGAGAAATGATGCACGTGTGAATTCAGTGCTAAAGTTTGAGGCTTAATATGAACTGGAACTGTGAGATAAATGAGTTATCTACAAATTGCCAATGAATTCAAGTGGAATAGAGCTGTCCAAATGGTGCTAATTTTGGGAAATTCTTTTGACGTTGACCCACCTGATACAAATACTTTAATGTCATTTCTAAGAAGAAGAACCCGTCTTCAGTGTCTCTCCCCACGGACAATAAGCTACATTGTAAGTGACTTTATTTGATTGTTGACATTTTCAGTATACAAGTCTGTTGTCTGAAGTGTGGTCTCTTTTACAGCAAGGATTAGAACTTGATGATTTTCTCTTTTGTGTTGAAACATCTTGGAATCTGTTTTAAATAGTATGACCCTAATTCATGAATATTGTATTCCTCTTTAAGTACATGTACTTTACTGGGAAATTTACCATCGTGATACTATATAACCTCCATAAAGCTTTTTCTGGTCTTTAAATTTGCTAGATTGTTTGTTACTTTTTTGTTTATTTTTAGTTAAGTACTCTGGCAAATAAGTTTATGTATTTATTACTTGATCAATTGCCAGTTGTTTGACAACACTGACAGGGACATGTGTTTCTGAGGTCAGTTTGACAAAAAAAAAAAAAACCAGTTATGAAAGGTTCTTTTGAAATTACATGTCAATGGAGCTGATGTTGTTATTCTTTGTTTTATCTGTGTGGTTTGAATTGCCCTACGTTCCTGTATACAGAAAGAGATAATAGATGTTTTCATTTTGATTTCACTTAACTAATTTGTTTGCAAACCTTCATTTCATGTTTTCTATGTGGTAGTTAGCTTTGCTTGCCTTTTGATGACAATTTGCGACTAATGAAATTAGGCAACGATAATTATAGAAATGCCTAAATGAAATTGTGTATTTCCTTTAGTTACTTTTAATCCCAGGTTAATTTTCTTTCATTTGTCTCTTATCATACATCACTTTATGCCAAAATGAATAATTAAAATTTCAAACCAAGGATGGAATTAAAGAAGGGAAATAGTGACTGGACTATACATTAAGCTATATTGTGAGAAGACAAATTCACTCCTTCTGTTCTTAGTGAGACCTTAAAAATTTGCAAAGAAATCAGCAGAATACTTGATTCTGCTACTGTGCTTGTCTTCTGTTCTCAAATGAGTGCGATTGTTATCTCAATTAAAAAAAGCAAAGCCCTATTTGCACCTTGTTCTAGGAAAAATCAAAGTGGCCTCTACCAGTCTATCTTCAATTCCTGAACTGACAGCCTTTACTATGTGATCTTTAACAATCTTTTAACTTCCCTTGCTTTTGCTATGGAAATTTGATTATTTACTTGTTGATACTCTTGACAAGGATGTTGTGATGTTGTGACCTACCATGTACATGTAAGGAGACATTTTAGAATGTTTTGATTTGTTAATCCTAGCCCCTTAACCTTTCATTTTCAAATGTTATGTTTGTACATGTATTTCTTAGTACTAACTCTCCAACAGAAAACATCTGGTTGAATTGACTTTGGAAAACTTTTGCTTCAAAAGATAAATTTGTTGTGACCAATGAATTTCCAGTGTAAGAAACTTTGTTTAGAATGCACATAAGAAATGCTTTGACATGAACTGATGAAAGGTCTATTAAGCTATCCTTCATGATGGCATGTTCAATCCTGTCAGGAAGAGACCAGGTACTCATGGATAACAATTGAGATGAACCAAATTAATATTTGCGTCTTTCTCCTTCTTTTGTTTGTTGTTTAGACAATGGAGAAGATTTTTTAAATACTGGTAACGAAAGACTATTTTACAAGTTCTCAAATACATGCCAAAACATGTACAGCTGTAAACAGGGCTTTTTGCCATTGTACAGCAAAATCATGAAAAGGGATTTGAATGTGATGTGAATTGTTAAAGGATGGGACTGTGGATGTTTTCAGATCAAAGTTGCAAAATAAATGTCACTGAGATTTCTGAGTTTATTCTTGTGGTGAGGGTTACACGTGTTGTGATAAATGGAGAGTCAACACAATTAATGTAGCTTAACAAAAATAGTGACCTGTAGTTAAAGAACAAGTAGATGTACTCCTCAATAATTCCTTGTACATTGTTTAGCCTAAGGTTCAATTCCTCTACTTTTGGTGATAAGAATATTGCACTCTGTGCTGGTAAATAATTCTGTTTTTTTCTCATCCATCTTACTTGAAAATAATGTACAGTGCAAAGTGGTGAAATTTGTTTTTCTTTTTTTACTTCATAAAGAAATATGGCAATCATTAATCTTTTAACTATGAGAAATGGTAAACATGTATCTTTTCCATAAAATATACGTTTAACATCCAGTACACAATCAAGCACAGAACATGTAGTTCATTCTTTTGTAACATCCAAACTAGATTACGGCAACAGTCTTTTGTATGGTTTACCTGTGAATCATTTAAGTAAGATGCAAAGACTGCAAAAATTATGCAGCTCGACTAGTAACTAAAGCAAAGTGCAGGGAACATATCACTCCAGTTCTTTGCCAATTGCATTGGTTGCCTACCAACTAGTGCATAGTGTTTAAAGTCTTAATCACTGCTTTTAAAGTAATCAACAGACGTGGGCCATCATATCTAAGTATTTAATTAGAGAAATATACGCTTTAAGCGTGTTTTGCGTTCAGCATCTAAAATGATTTTGAAAGTATGTAAGTCTTTCACTTCCATGTATGGTGACAGAGCTTTCTCTGTCACTTTCTTCCTGAAACTATTAAGAATGCTGAACCTATTAGTCAGTTCAAATCTTCACTAAAAACAGACCTATTCAAAGAGGCTTCAATTGAATTACAACAGGAGATATGAATGTACTGTCAACTGTTACATTATCATTGACGATTTTGTGTATGTATATATTGCATAGATTTTTATTATATTACTTATTTTATTATATTCTATTTATAAATATTAGTTATTATACCAGTTAATTGTATCATACGATTGTAAATAGTCAATTCATATTTAATTACCCATTGTAAACACATTGAGTCATGCTAGATGCGTGTTAAGAATGGTAATTAAATGAAATAAATAATATTAAACACTAAAACTCAGGTAACTAGATTATTCAAACTTATCAGATAGAAGTTGTTATTTTGATCTAGCACCAAATTCTCAACTAATTTACAAGGGAATGTGTAGCAGCTAGAGGGGAGAATTTACAATCAGATCTTGGGAGTTAAAGGGTTAACTTTGTCTCATGCTGTATGATGAAATTTGGTTTGCTTTTTTTTTGTCATCAGCCTTATCTATAAATAATGTTCAGTGCCATAGGCAGACCAAGATGTAATGTATCCACTGTTTGTTCACTTTAGTCACTGGAAGACTTTGGCGACGATGATGACGAGGATATGGACGAGAAAGGTTATGAAGAGGATTATGAAGATGACCAGGATTATCTTGAAGATGAAGGAAAACCTTTGGAAAAGAAAGAATCAGGTGAAAAGTTCTGAACATTTTAAGGTTGCTTCAAAGAATAGGCACTCATTGTGGAGTTATGAAATCTGACATTCTTAAGAGCCACTGACCATAAATATCGAGAATCTGCTGACAGTTGCAAAATTTCTTGACTAATTTTTTTTTTAAGGATCCTTTTAATGAAACTTTTTCAAAAATTCTATCAAAAAGTTCTATCATGCTTTTTTTTCTCCAAAAAATCGAATAGTTCAAAATATGCCTAAATGGCCATTGTCCCCTCCCTTGAAGCAATGAAAAATTATGCAACTTTAGCAACTTCGTACACTTCAATGCGATGCAATCCCCTTTTAAATTTTGTGTGCTAGCAGATGGTCCTTTCATCTCTTGGAAAATATTAATTTCTTGTTAAGTTATTACGTTTAAGTCTGAATAGTGACTTGTTGAAATAAAGTACTTCGTGTCTCTTTCGTGGAGGTAAAATAAAGGTCAACTTTGGAGGCCCATGAACAGGTCTGCCATATATACTTAAAAATCATAATATGCATCATTTTAAAGCTTTATCCTTGTATTTTAGTTCCTCCAATTCTCTATCTTGACCCGCTATAAGCAGGACGTCCAGGTTAAAAGAGTTTGAGCTATTTTGTCAAAAATGCAATGCAAACTGCTGAACAGCTGTCATGACCCATTTAAAGGCCTTTAAAAAGGTCTTGTTTGATATATTTACAAATCGAAATATATATCCTCTTTAAGCTTTATCCTTGTAGTTTAATTTCTCTAAGTTTCTTTCTTGGCCCGCCATAGGTGGCATGTCTAGCTTTAAAAGAGTTCGAGCTAGAATGACAAAAAATGTAATGTGATCTGTTGGATGACTGTCATGCAAGAGGTCATGTATTTGGTGGCTAAGTAGGAAGATTGGCCTTGGCCTCTTGTGTGACAGCCGTTCAACAGATCGCATTACTTTACAGGGGGGACAACGGCCATTTAGGTGTATTTTGAACTTTTCATTTTTTTTGGGGGGGGGGGGAGAAAGCACGATAGAACTTTTTGATATAATTTTCGAAAAAGTTTCATTTAATTTCATTAAAGGTCCTTTAGAAAAAATTAAATGAATTACAAAATTTTGCAACTGTCGGCGGATTTTCGATATTTACAGTCAGTGGCTCTTAAAATCTTTGTTATTAAAAGATACAGAGAACAGTTTACTCTTTTTTGTCATTGTTGCTTTGATTTAAACTAATAGTCCTTTTGTTTTGAGAAAATGTGATCAAAGCTGAGGGAATAGAGAATTCTAGAATTCTCACAACTTTGAAATGAGGTCAAAAGGAAAACTAACCCTTAGCTGTTCATTCATTGATAGTGAACTAATTTTCATTTTTTGATTTGTTTTGTGGGTCATAGTTGACACTTCAGCAGAGAAGGCTGATGAGTTGGATCGAGCCCTAATAATGCTTGAACATGGAGTAGATATTGCCATGCAGGTTGGTAAAGTTATATATAACTCTGTTTTTCTGATTTGATTCTATTCTTTGACAAGAGTTTTTTTTTTTTTTTCAACTTAAGGCTATGGTTAACTTTCTGCTGATTTTAGTGGCAGAAATTTATTTTTCATTATTTAGTTCCTTTCTTAAATGTTTCTGCTCTTTTTTTTTGTTCAATTCCTTTTGTTTAGTTCCTTTCTCTGCCCAGCATTGTGAAAACTGAAGAATACATATTTTCCCTCTGAAAACTCATTTTACATTTTTAATTAGAAGTTTACCAGAAAACCTTGACTTCCTTATAGTCCAGTTTTCCTGGCTTAGGTTATGTCTGGTTTGATTATGGAAGCTAAAAAAAATGTTGTGATACTGTAGTTTTTTCTGCTCCGGTTGTTTCTGTACTTTGATTTGAATTGATATGTCCAATTCTGTGTCGAGAGTAAGTTTTACCTAAGGCCCCTTGTTTGACACCCACTTTGAAATACTAATTTCTTTTACCAGAGAACCAAAATTTGGGCCAAGTACTCCAAAGACATAGAAACTTATGTTGACAAACGGGCCCACTTGGGTAAGGAAGATTTGTCTTTTTCCTCAATAACTCATACTTTCAAACTCAGAAATGCATGAACACCTGAAATAAGTCAGGAATGGTTATTGTGTTTTGACCAATTACAAGAAAGATCAGAACAAGAAATTAAACCACCTGAATGGTTTATCCCTTTACATCCTAATATCACCATACATATTCTCCTCACTGTTCTCTGCACATTTCTTATATTACTGACAAGGAGAATGTGTTCAATGATCAAGAGCACCCTCAGATATGGATCATTTCTTTTGTTGTTGTGACCTTAATGTTGGAATTACCAGTGATAATAAAAATCGAAATTAGATATCACATTTATTCATCCTTAGAGGTTAAAGAGTTATTTTCCCTGATAGAGACACATTCCAGAGATATTTCCATTGTGAAAAGTTTTCTGAGTTTTGTTTGAACACAGTATAAATGAATTATTTTTAAGATTTACCAATAGGTTTCCCTCTTCCCTACGTCACCCTGAAGGCATGTACATGTTGATAACTGAACTTTACAAATGTATGAATTTACCCTGAAAGATTTGAGCTTAATTTAATGTGGTTTTGATTTTGTAGAGTTGGAGTACACTAACAAACTAGCAAAACTTGCACAAACAACAAGAGCTGCAATCAAAGAGGAGGTGGTAACTTTTCCTATGTCTTGTAAATATGTTGTTTTGCTTTGCAAAATTTTTTGGTTAAAACCTGGATAATGTCCAAAGCAACCAAGTTTTAATGCCAGTGTGTTTTTTTTTAGAATTACCTGCCTTTTCAGTCTATTTATGTAACAGCACTTGATAAGGTGAATAAACAATTTCTTCTATTCATTAATATAATTGTTATAAAAGATTGTGTTAATATAATATTTAAAAATAAAATATTTGCAAGTTAGATTTTCACAGACTGGCCAGCTCAGACTGGCACTTGATAATGGTTGACCAGGCCAAGTGTAACAGTGTACATCAAGAAAAGCAAAGATTGTTGTCAACACGTATAATTATTATAAGGTCCAAATAACAAAGTTTGTTAAGAATTTCCCTTTTTTTCCTCCACCTAAAGGATATTGACTATGCTGAGAGTGCCAATAAAACATATGCAGCCCTCTTGGCAAGCCGGTTTATGGAGGTTGGAAACTTAGCACTTTTGGTCTTTTTGCACGTTGAGATGTGGCTACCAGATGCTTTCCATAGTGTGCCATTTGTAGTGCATTATTATAACCAGTCACTTGTTTTTCAAGGGACAGCAAAAGAGAGAATGGAGAATTTGAAAGGGCCTCCCCTCTCCACAATAAGCACCCCTTTACATTAGGCCCTTGTTTGAAGGGTGTGGACACAATCAAGCCCCAGGGTGATTAGAGATTAGGAGATGTTACTAGAGGTTATTAGAGGTTTTGCAGTATCTTATATTGCAGTTTACTGTTCCTTATTTAGCCTTTAACAGCAAGAAGACTTAAGCATGAGAAGATAAGAAAGGACCTAAAGGACAGCTGGGCTAAATCTTGTAAAAAACTGGTAAGACACCTGCAACAATTTGTTTTTATCTGTTTGACATGCCAAGTATCTCTGCTTATTATCCGAATTGTGGGTTATTTTTCCCTTCATATCTTTTGTTTAAAGACTGAGGCAGCAGCAAATCTTAAGAAGGCAAAATCTTTGTATATCCAGAAACAACAGGAACTAGAAAAGGTTTGTATACTTAAGTTTGTAACTAAATTTGTTTAGTTTATGGAGTGTTGGCTTCAAACTTCTTCTTCAGATACTGATCGAACTGTCAATTTCTCTCACTATGGTATTTGTAATAATTAAATTGCTTATCAATATGTTAGCCTTAGCTTTTTTTGGGGGGGGGTATTCTCATCACCTATGTACCTGGCGATCCACGTTTTGTACAGGGGAGTTTCATAGTGATCCTTCTTTTCAACTGTGTGGTAGTTTGTTGAAAGGCTCTGTCATTGGATGGAGTCATTGTGGTTTAATTTTTGAACCAGTTCGCGGAGCATCCTAAGGCGAAATTTTATTTCTTGGGGATTACTCTCACTTTTCTCCATTTCAAATTTTTCTCTATTGAAAGACATTTTTTTTACATCAGTTATCTCTCTTTTTGTCCAAACTAGGAAGAGTCGACATTCTCACGCGGGGCCAAGAAGAAAGAAGGTGATATCAAAAAAGCTGACGAGGCAGAGGAGATGTACAAGTCTTGGGTGGCAGAAGCTAATGCAAGGCAGAGGGAATTGGAAAATACTAAAGCAAATATCCTGGTGGAATTACGTCAACTTGTCTATCAGTGTGATATGACAATGAAGGCGGTAAGTCTTTAGACCATCCCCTCTGAGTCTAACTTTCCCAACCACAGGCGTCTAACTTTTAACCCTTGGGTTATCTATTTAGCTTTGCTTTTATGAGAACCTTCAAGAGCAGAGCAGCCCATAATTATTTCTGAGACAGGAACTCGGGCACCATGTGATGCTTCTAAAGCACCACTTTTGGTAACCTTTTAACTCAACGAAGACAGCAAAAAGGAGAAAACTAGATTTGCCCTCGAAAGCGCTTGACTAGCTAGGCGACAACCTTCATTTTAAAGAAAATATTGACTTGTTAATTAATTTTGACTTTCAATGATTCTCTCGTTAGGTCACATGTAACTATTTCCAGATGATGAATGCGCTTGTATCACCCGGCCCAATTCAGTTTCAGACTCTCGCAGAAAGCAGTAGGAATTATGAACCTGGAAACCAGTTCGCAGAATTCGTTCGTCTACAACAAGCCAATTCACCTCAAGCTGTTGAACAAGTCTTTCAGTTTGAACCGTACTCTGCAGGATAGTATGTACTTTTTATTATACGATAGAGAAACCTTTGTTGAGTTGTTATAGACTATTGCCAGTGTTGAAGGTTTTTAGCTCCAGGTGTGCTTGATTTGTGCCCCCCACTTGGAGCCTCTACAGTAGTCCAACAGTAGTCCAACATTTAAAATGCGAAATTGTCACAGACGTACGCTAACAGCCGGTTGTGTTCGACCTTTTAACTCCCAGAAGTTATTAACATGTAACTTCTTGAAATTATAGTAAGTCACCTTTTAAATAGGTAATGAGAGTCTTAAATTTGGAATAAGACTGAATTTCCTGTCTAATTTACAATTAAGAAAGGTATGGCGTAAGTAGGGAGAATTATTAATTGGATCTTGGAAGGTGAAGGTTTAATTACACTTGCTGTCTTCTTGCTCTGGTTTTTTTTAACACATTCCCTCAACTGACCTTCAGAATTTCTCAGAAACAAACCATGACATTGCCCCTTTAATGTTTCAGCCCAGACAGAGGACCACAGACTCCGTCACGCCACAACTCCTTATTTGATTCACGTAACATTCATATCCATTCCGCCATGGAGGAGACAGCGAAGATTTCATCACCATTTACCCCTCGCCGTAATAAAAGTCTTCAGCTGCACAATGTACAGAGTGTAAACAGCTCGCAACAGCCGATCAATGCCTGGAGTAATCTAAAGGAACACAACAGTGATGGTGACAGTACAACTAGTCGATCCTTACCAGGGTCCCCCTCGGGCAGCCCGACCTCAGATCGTAAAGCCAAAATTCCTCGCGCCCAGTCACTTGAGTTTATCTCATCTGATGATGCTGAAAACAAAGATGAGAGAAGAAGTACTAACGGTAAGAGTTAGTTACCCACGTCACAGGCATAAGCGTGAGCCAACATGGTCAGATATAGGAACATGTTGATCAACAGTTAATGGGGAAGCATTCTGTGGAGGAAATTGTTGTAGTGATACACATGTTATTGTCATTTTGAAAGATACAAAAACTGCGAAGATAGCTCCTTTAAACCTGGAACTTACTAAACGTTTTGTTTAAAGGACCTGTCAACCCAGGCTCCAATAGAAGACGTAAACCCAAGGAGCGCCCATCCGCGGGTCCGTTCCAGAATATCCGCCTGTCAGCATCAGCGAAGACGCACACGTTGAAGAAACTCCGCTCGGCCTCCAAGTGTCGTGAATGTGACAGTTATGTGTATTTCAATGGTGCAGAATGTGAAGTGTGTGGTCTGACTTGTCACAAGAAGTGTTTGAAAGAGCTCAACATAAGATGCGGAAAGCTCTCGGTAAGGGTAATGATGCGGCTCTTAGACTAACTATTATTAGTTTTGTACTAATCTACTGATGACCTGTTGCTTCAAAATTCAATTTTCTCTAATTTTTTAAAACCTCCCCTTCAACCGATGTGAAACCGAACCTGGTAAATTCTACAAGTCAAATATATTAATGATCGTTTTTGGTTCGAGCCGTCAGACTATTTAGTTGTCGAATGACGTATGCCTTTGTTAAGGTTGTTAATCCTTTCACTCCCAGATCTCGTTAGTAATTCTCCCTACTGTTTGCTACACAATGCTTATGAATGTAAGTTGGAGAATTTGGTATTGGATCAACTGAAAACGAGATCAAGGAGATCGTTTTCTGATTTAAAAAACCCTTAAGATAGGTTTAAGTAAGGCAAGGGGACTAAAACTGTTTTGAATTTTGTATTGAAAAATTAATTTGCTTTTTTTATAGCTATCGTTATAGTATTATAATCTATTTTTTACAGAATGGTCAACGGCGCATGACAACGTTCGGAGTGGACTTCAATAGTCATCTTCGACATTCGGCTACTGAAGAGGAAAACATACCTCACATTATCTCATCGTGTATTGACGAAATTGACAATCGAGGTATGTAGGCTACCTGAATCAGTTTGCTGTACTGTACTGCACTGTACTGTACTATACTGTACTGCGCTGTTCTATACTGTACTGCGCTGTACTGTACTGAACTGTACTAAACTGTACTATACTGTACTGCACTGCACTGTACTGTACTGTACTG